CGCCTTATATATGAAAAAAGTTTTAAAATAGGCCATTCATTGACGGTGCGCCTTATAGTACGGAAAATACGGTACATATATCTTACTAAAAGAGAATGGATACATTTTCAGTCATGGGATGTAAATATTTGTGGAGAATTAAGTGAAAATATAGGATAGTTTTGGACTCAATGACAAGAAAAACAGATAAAAATATATTACTGGTGACTGGAATGGTGGTGTTTTGTGTTGATAGGAACCAAGAGGCTTTCTCCGTCTCATCATTATACTTTTAATCTTCATTACAATCAAAGATTTTACAGATCAGACTCACCAGGTACAATAGACGTACTAAACTCAGCATCAATTCGGATGCAACTAAGACTAGACTCACACAGCGCTTAGACGAAACTCAGACAAGACTGCTGCGCCAAACCTGCGGCGTGTCAACCCTAAATAGCTTAGCAAACAGGTGGCTCATATTACTAATTAGTGGACAAAGGAAAACCGGCAGTACCCAAAATAAGACACTTGAAACCTAGAAATAAACCCAAACTAAACGGAAAACACAGAAAAACCCACACAAAAAGCCCAACATTATGACAACTGGTATTTTTCTTGTCATTCTGTTGTGGGAATTCAAAGCAATTTTCTGTTGATGTTCTTTTCTGATTATAAACCACCAGTTGGTTGTTCAGCATTTTTAACAAAATGATTAAGAGCCGTTGTGAAATATCCATAGAGCCACTTGTGGGACAGAGGTTTCAAATTCCTGGCCCATCTGACAGAAAGACAAATATAGTTTTGCACTTGAATAAGTCAAACTGGGAGATGTGTTCTGATTTTTTATGCCTGACATAAATTTAAACTGTTGACTTTCAGGGTGTTTTTTGTACGTCATAGTTACACTCTGTTATAATTACTCTACTTTTATTCGTAGAACCAAATCTGCACGACCCCAGGTGAAGCTGCGGATGATCCCAGCAATGGACAGCAGGTTCAGCTCACCCAGAGCCTGCAGAAGAAACATCGTTGTGACAAATGTCTGAAACATTTCAGCCGGAAGGGGAATCTGAAAATTCATCAACTCATTCACACTGGAGAAAAGCCCTATCTCTGTGACCTGTGTGGAAAGGGTTTCATTGAGAAAGGTTATTTTAATATTCATCTGCAAAGACACACTGGTGAAAAGCCTTACAGCTGCAGTCATTGTGAGAAGAGATTCAAAGATTCATCTGGCCTAAAGATTCATCAGCGAAGTCACACTGGTGAAAAGCCTTACAGCTGCAGTCATTGTGAGAAGAGATTCAAACATTCCTCTGGGCTAAAGATTCATCAGCGAAGTCACACAGGTGAAAAGCCTTATAGTTGTGATCAGTGTGAGAATAGATTCAAACATTCCTCTAGTCTAAAGATTCATCAGCGAAGTCACGCTGGTGAAAAGCCTTATAGTTGCGATCAGTGTGACAAGAGATTCAGAGGTCCCTCTGGGCTAAAGTATCATCAGCGAAGTCACACTGGACAAAAAGCCTCAACCACATAAAAAAGAAGGAACATCTGCAACTGTGAGGGAATTTCTGTCTCTCCTCTTCTCTTCCATCACTACGCCGACAACAGTCGATGCTGTCTGTAACATTTATATCAATAATAAAAACAAGCATGCAAATAAATTGTCATGTCATGACCTTGGTATAAAAGCATGTCTTATTCATGCAGTTTTATCTACAGTCTTGTATACGCCACTTTGGAGTAGGGTCCATTTCCCCACTGTTTGTCATCACAAAATCCTTTCAATCAAAGATTGTTTTTCTTTTTTTTTTTTTAATATTCAGATTCTCTCCACAATCCTGCTCTAATCATCTGCCTTTAACCATCTTTTTGTTACTGCCTGTTTGCTCACTGTCATGATTACCTTTGTCAGAAACATATATTCTTTCCTCACCATTGTTATATGACAAGTATTTGGGATTACATAGCCTTGAATATTAATCAATGTTGATTCAACTTGTTCCCAATATTCAGATATTTTTGTTCAGCTCCAAAAGAAATGTGAACACTTCTACTTCTCCACATAATCTACCAACATTCTTGTAAAGTGGAAGTCTGTTTATGCTAAAGGGTAATAGTCCCTATGCCAGAGTGAACCGCTAACATTCACTAAGCTAGCCCTCACAATGCGCAGAGTGTCATATATCATAAAATACATCTACTTAGAGTACTCTTCAATAGGCTAGTTTTTCCTTTCACTCAACTTTTTTGATAAAGCCTTCTAATTTTCCCTAGCTTTTAAGCCAGAGTCAACAAAATTACTTAAATAAATTGCTTCAAAGACAGCCATCTGTGTGTGACAGACTGGACTGGAGATGCAGCGGTGATGCCCTCAGTAAGAAGGAACAGAGCAAATTGTACTTCTTGAGGAAGCTAAGATCCTTTCAACGTTTGTTGCAAGATGCTGCAGGTCTTTAAGTCTTTTGTTGAGAACGTCATCTCTTCTGCCGTCATCTGTTGGGGAGCCAGGAACCTAAAAAGGCTCGACAACCTGATCAGGAAGGTTGGTTGTGTTCTGGAGACGACAGTGGAACCTCTGGGGATGATGATGATGATGATGATGATGATGATGATGATGATGATGCAGATGCAGATGCAGATGATGCAAAGGATTCTTCATAAAATCAATAAAATTATGGACAACCCTGACCATCCTCTTCATGAGACTGTTTTGGGACAACAGAGTGCCTTCAGTCAGAGGATTCGTCTGATTTTCTGTAATACAGACTGCTACAAGAGACCTTTCCTGCCAACAGCCAGCACTACAAGAACTGTCTGAAGTATCTGAATTAATATGAGTTGCAACAACATTTAATTTCCCATTTTGGGATCTGTAAAGTCATTTTTTTAAATTGAACTGACATGAATCGAGACTGTCTTTTCCACTTCTGGTGAGATTACAGACTGTTGCCAAAGAAACGTGGAGGCGACAAAAGCAGAAGTGACTGCCGTAAAGGAGAAACAATTAAGGTGGCAGACTAAACCTGACTTTATCAGCAACACAATGAGGAAGAGTTACAAAATATCAAAAATGGCCATTCCTCCTTAGAAATCTTTTGGAGTAGATAGACCCTAATGTTTTTTAAGGACACTTAACACTTAAAATTGCAACTCTTTGCTGCACGTCTTTAACAGTGTGTTTGGATTATTTTTTCTTACAATCCTGCTTGCCAAATGGTGGTGAGATAAACTCAAAAACCATCCTTTTTGTGACATAGGATACATTCACACTCCGGCTGAAGTGACCCAATTCC